ATTTTCACTTTAAACTATCTCTGTGGATATCTTCTAGAAAATCCCATACAAATCCTTATAAATATGCAAATTTTGTTCCTTGTGTGGTTCTCAAAGAGAGCTTGGGCCGCCTGTGGTCAGTCTGCTTGTTTGTTTTCTGTAATGGTGTGTGTAAATCGGTTTTTCTTCCACCGAAAAGCTGAAGTCAATGAGACTCTTTCTACCTAGACACAAGGAGATTTAATGCGACTTCTATTCATCGAATTCCTGCGTTTCTGCTATGAAATTTACGACGAAAGTGTATTTTAAGATTTTGAACTGCTGCTGAATAAAATTCTTTCTTTGTTAGCCTAAACTTATAAAATCGTTTGTATTTGGCGCACGTCAAACCCATTTGTAGCTTAAAGGTCAAACAGGGATTATCACTCACTAAATTGGCTCGCCATAGTCTTGTGATCGCCTTCGTATGAAATTGTTTTGTTGTTGTTGTTGTTGTTGTTGTTAAGTCCGCGTTTTACTAGTCCTCGTTTTACTAGTCCATTCCAGCCCAGTCCAGTCCCTGAAATACCATAAGCCCGTTTGTTCGGTTGTCAACAAAGTCAATCGACGCCTTGGTGTCCTGAGAAGAGTAAAGCATATGCTACCACTCCAGTCCCATCTAACTCTCTACAATAGTCTCATCCTTCCCTTGTTTGATTATGGTGACATTGTTTGGGGCGATAAGATCAATTCCACTCTCATGTAAAATCTTCAGATTCTTCAAAATAAAGCTGCTAAGATAATTCTTGATCGCCATCCGCATTACTCGGCGTCCGAAGTCCTTGATTCTCTTGGTTGGAAGCCACTGCATCTCAGGCGATGTTTCCATCGTTGTACAACGATCTTCAAGTGTTTGAATGGTCTCTTTAATTTTGATTTTAATTTTGTTAGAAATAACTCAATTCATAATTACAACACGCGTTCCAGAGACGATTTTCACTTACCTCGCGTAAGAACAAACTGGGGCAAACAACGTTTTACGTATCAGAGCGTCGTAGACTGGAAGGCATATGGTATTTTACTAGTCCGCGTTTTACTAGTCCGCGTTTTACTAGTCCGTGTTTTCCTAGTCCGCGTTTTGCTAGTCAGCGGTTTACTAGTCCGCGTTTTACTAGTCCGCGTTTTACTAGTCCACATTTTGCTAGTCCGCGTCTTACTAGTTGGCGTTTTACTAGTCCGCGCTTTACTAGTCCACGTTTTACTAGTCCAGTCCAGTCCAGTCCATATGCCATGCCAGACCCACGTTTTACTAGTCCAGTCCAGTCCAGTCCATATGCCATGCCAGACCCACGTTTTACTAGTCCAGTCCAGTCCAGTCCATATGCCATGCCAGACCCACGTTTTACTAGTCCAGTCCAGTCCAGTCCACATGCCATGCCAGACTGGAACTCTTTAAGTCAAGATATACGTGACACCGCTCTACTTTCTTATTTTAAATCTAAGCTTAAACATAGGTAAACATTGTCAAGGGGAAGTAAGTTTCTATTCTTGCCTGGGTTTTATCATGTTTAGTTTTTTTATTTAATTGTACTTTATTTGTAGAATATGCAGGGCCTCACTAAAGAGCACCTTTTGGTGAAGTGGGCTCCCTGTTAAAAAATATTGTTATTATTACTATTCATCACATAAGATTGTGCCGAATTGCAGAGGTTACCTAGAATTCGACGAGTCATTCTGGACATGTATGTGATTAAAGATCATGTCTATTGTAGGTACTCTTGACCGATACATCGACCTATATACCGCTCGAGAATACCTACAGTAAAGAGTCCATGATTAATGTTGTCATTGTTATTTTACTTAGAGGGCCAAAAAGTATTTGCGTCGTATATCAGAAAGAGTGAAAACTGCGGACACATATCAATTGTCGGATTCTGACGGGTATGATTATCAGTAGCCCAGAGCGATACATTCGAGCGAAAACCAAACCGAGCGCGATTGAAGACAGAATACCCGTGCTTGCTGAGACTCAACCGTATACCAACGAATGATCTGATAACAAATGTTTTGATTGGTTGGTTCATTTCGTTGTGCCTGCGACCCCAACATGCTAGTTTTCACTCAATATTAGGGACCTTTAGCAGTGACGACGAGAACGTGAACGTGACCGACCGGAAGTTGGGAAAACGAACTTCGATGCTACCACGCATGCCCAATTGAGCACGTGTCGTAGTCCACATCTCGTTCAGGACACCATTTGCTTCAATTCGCAGTCTTGACGAGAACGTGAGTATGTTTTATTTGTTTTCTAATTTCCACTTACCTATCTAAGGGATTTTTTCAATCTAATGGGTCGATTAGGGAATAAAAACACTGCCAAAAGTAATTTGATCGAACCGTGATGGTAAAAAACTTTACTTCTTTACCCCTAACCCTGCAGGAGAAGGGGCCTACGGTTTATTCGTCTTTATTCGAGAAGACTAGAATATCTATCCAATTCTTGATTATAGAAAGGTAGCAAATTCTCCTCACTTGTTTTAAGACCATGAGTATTGGTCCGAATACTATGAATTTTAAAATGTTGAAAAATTCAGCTTATCACATGTTACGCAATGGAACGAGCCAAAACGTACTTCTTTGTCTCCAATCATATTTGTAACCCTCTTAGAAATCTGACACAACAGAGTTTATAAAAGAGAGATTGGTAACAGCTTTAGTGGGATGATCACGGTACAAATGAAATTATCAACAGAAGGTTCACAAAGCTTATCTTTGATGTTACATCTTTCAAAATGTTTACATATCACGTAATGAATGGTTTTACTTTAGCAGGATGGCTTATTTATCTTCACGGAGCACTTGACGTGAGCTTTGAAGTCGCGCCACTGAAACTCGTTCGCCACCCCTGTCAGGAACGACTTAGACATTTGTGCAATCTCTCGGTCCTTCATCACTTGATCCCAGATGTTGCTACCTGGCATTACTGATACAATGTAGCAGCGAAATTCAAACCGACAGATTCGGAAGCAGAGTTTCTGTGCCTCTTGAGACACTGTCCCTGGTAAGTTGAAGCCGTAAGCCATCCAATGACCTGATGTATCGCGCTGAACGCACTTTCCCCGCACTTTTTCCGCACGCGTCTCGCACTTTGCCGGCACGTAGAGAGTACCTGGCCTTCTTTTGCATTGCAATAAATGGCTCCTTGACCATGAAGAAATCGAAGTAGAAAGGCAAAGATACTGACAAAACCTTGAAGATGACGACCACAAGAAGATACGAATCTTTCTTATCAACTGCATGCAATCTTTAAGCAAACATTTGAAGCTACGAAAACAAGTTATGGACATCCTTACGCATAATCATGATAAAAAAGTATTTAATTCCTTCCACTACCCTTCCCCGAAAAAAAGGTGTTTTCAAAAAAACCTTATTTCGGGCGCTATTAAGAGGTTTTTTAAATCAAAATCGTTAATTTCGTTACTATGGCTGTTCCTGATGTATGCAATAATAATGATCCTTTATTGCGTGATTAAAATCGAAGTCTTTTTAAGAGAATCATGGAGAGGGGTTCCACTTACATCGTTTATGGCGAGAAAAAATTACAAAAAACCAACGATGAAAGCTAAATTCAGATTTCATTTTCCCACACGACCAGAAAGGTATTTGCTGTTTAATCCGAGGGAACTCGGTAAAAATGGCCAAAAGAAAAATTTTCGGGAACTTTGCGTAGAAACCAGCGAGAAGAAGGATGATATTGGAAAAAGCGACAAGAATATGAAATGAGACTCAAAACAGGCCAATTACCTGAGGCACGAGAAAAACAAAAATGACAAAAGTGCGAATGGTTTTAGTTTTGCTTCCGATCAGTAGACAGGAAAACCAAATAAAGACATTCCCAGGTTGCTATCGACACTCAATGTTACGTCGCATCGGCCAAATAAACGATGGAGAAGAAAAGATAAGGGCACAAATCGATTATCAACATATAGTTTTCAAAGTTTATCTTTTAATGTAATATCCCTCGCAATGTTTACAAATCACGTCACGGATGTTTTTACTTTAGCATGATGGCTTAGTTATCTCCACTGAGCCCTTGATGTGAGCCTTGAAGTCGCGCCACTGATACACGTTCCCCACCCCTGTCAAGCACGACTTTGACATGCGTGTGATTTCTTGGTCTTTCACCGTATGATCCCAGATGTTGACACCCGTCATTTCACCGATGAAACTTTGACTGGCGTCGAAGGATCCTCCCACTGAGTCTTGGTCTTGTCCTAGTACCAGGGTTCCACCACCACGAATCACATGACCTGTTAATAAATTTAATAAAAAAGTAGTCACTTTGTACGTTTAACTATAAGATTTGTGATATTTTTATGTTGGTTTTTCTCAAACTGTGCAAACAACCAAGGGGCAGAACATCGAGTGGAAATATGGACAGGCCTTCTATTCTGGTTTAATTTATCAAGATGACAAGACGATACTGTTCAGGGCGAGTCGTAGTTATGTCAAACTCTGTTTGTGTGCTTCTGAACTTAATTAAAACTGCTCATTTCCTTTAAAATAATTTTTTAGAAAAGGAACCTACCTTTCTTGAGACTTTTTCGAGAAGCTGCAACCTTGCCATCTTTGAACAATTTCCACGATCCAGTGGTATTCTCCCATGTTACGCAGATGTGATGCCACTTTCCATCGTTAGCAGATACTGAAGTGTGACCACTGCAGGTGAACAGCAAAACAGAAATATGCACCAGCCAGAGAAAATAATGGGACCAGGTAATGTCTTCAAAATTCAAACTCTTGATCAAGTGGTAGAACCTCGTTGGAATAAGGAATCTTTATTCTAGAGCTGTATTCGATTATTATGTCACGTCTGAACACTTTCCGAACGTAAGAACAATTTTTTGGCTGATGTGATCAACGGAACTTCTTCCTTCTTCAGCAAAACTGTAAAACCGATCTACGCTGAAACAAGTTCGTGTGGTTGAACATTCTTAAAAGTTTTTTTTACAATCGAAATCGCAAAGCTGTATTTAATCGATATTAAAGGAAGAAGACCTGCTCGTACAGAGGGAAGCCTACCTCTTGCTACTGATTTGATCTCAGCCAGATGATATGAACTTATTGACTGAGTTTGGTCGGGCTGGACAGGAAAATATTCCTTGAAAAATGCGAATATTATTTCTGTTTCCTTTAAGTTTTTACAATAAAACGACATGAGTGCAGCAGGGTCGGACGGTTTTCCATGGGGTTACGCGACGGGAACCGAACGGGTCATATGATAGACGCTTTTACCTTCGCCTTTGTTTGCTATCGATTCAGACTTCAAAGTTTCTACGGTTAAGCCCAATGATAACAAAAGTAAGCTTTGTTTGTACCTATGGCTGGTTCCTATCCGTAACGAAAATTTTCTGAAGTCCCACAGAGGTAATTCGTAGTCTGATCCAGACACAGCATAGCTCAGTAGTGTTCCTTCATTTCCGGTATCAGCGGTTTTCATCCACAGACAAACTGTCACAGCTTTGAGGCTTGGCATGCCACGTGTGATGATGACGTACTCACTTGTTCCTTTACGCGGAAACCGCAACGCGTAACCTGAAACTAAGCGATAAAATTTCAGTTCGGCTTAAACAAAAAAATACCATCGCTTGTTGAAATGCAATTGAATACCTAGACAGTGTAAAAGCTACTGAGGTAGCTGAAGTAGCCTGCGTAGCGGCCCTAGAAGGAGGGGGGAAGGGGGTGGGGAGCCGAGCGGAGAGACGCTTGGGGACAGGAAAGGAAGGGCCTGCTATGAGAGGCCCGCATTCTGCATAACTTCCCCTGATTAATTATGCAGATCGTGTTTCGAATGTCAATCAACAACTGTCAAAACTATCCAATCACGACGCGCCACTTTAAGACGTACGCCAGTGAAGCAGGGAAAATACTAAAAATAGCAGAGCACTGACCCATGCAAACTGTCAAAACACTGCTGCACGTGGATGAAAATGTCGGACGACAAGGAAAATTTCAAAGGAAAAATTCAAAGGAAAATTTCAAAGAAAAACCCAAGAGGGGTAGAAAGCCTAATANCCATCTCTTGGGGGTTTGATTAAACGACTGGTGGTACCTGTTCCACTTTGGTCAGGGGCAGGGGACCATGACCTGAGTTAGGTATCTCTATGTCAAGAGGTGATTGTTTAGGGAGTTCGGCTGTGAGACGCAGGTGTCGGCGGTTCCTACGATACACCCGTCCGTCGTCAGTGGTAACTTGGTATGAGCGTACACCAACTTGTTTGTCAACCGTTGCTTGGGTCTATTGTTGTTTATATTTGGGTGGATTGATACGTACGGTCCTCCCTGGCTCAAGTGGCTGGAGTTCTTTGGTGCCATTGTTGTAATAGAAGGCTTGTTTTTTCTTCTGTGCCTGGAAAAGCTGGGAAGTGGTGTCAAATTCAGGTTGTGTTAGTAGTCGCCCAGAGGTAGGTAGGAGGGTTTTGGTACGGCGGCCAAAGAAGCGCTGAGCTGGAGACGTTCCTAGCCCTTGTGTGGGGGTGTTGCGAAAGTCAAGGAACCCCAAGTAGGGATCTCTGCCAGCCTCTGAGGCTTTGAGTCTTGTCTTACTAGCAAGTTTATCCACTTCAAAGAAATTTGAGTAATAATAAGTGGTGACAAGGTAATCCTGGCCCTGGAGCTCAAAGAGATAAACGGCAAGGACCTGCCACGGTCTTGATGTTACTGGGTGTGAGATCATGGGCTCCCTCTGCTGCCCTTGGTGGTATGAATTGCAGACTTAGCAGTTGGAGACATGTTCCTCAATTTCTTTTTACATACCAGGCCAGTAGAACGCTTCCCGTGCCCCTCTTAGGCATGCTTGTATTCCCAGATAACTGAAGTGTTGCTTTCTTTTGAGTTCAGCTCTCATTTGAAAGGGTATGACAACACGGTCTCCTTTGAAAATAACTCCATTTTGGAGAGCAAGTTCTTCTTTGAATGGAAAGTAGTCTTGAATTTCTAGTAGGAGATAGAGCTTACTTTCTGGCCAGCCTTGTTTGATGACGCAAGCGAGGGTCTTGAGGGTAGCGTCTTCTTGAGTAAGGGTTTGGATTTGGCGAAGAGTTTCGTCTTTGACCAGAAGATACTGTAACATGTTCACTTGCTCTGCTTCTATCTCTGTTGGAGACCTAGTATCTGAGACTGTCATGACATCTTCCTGATCCTCAGTAGCTTCCTTAGGCGTCAGATACGCGCGACTCAGGGGATCAGCCATAAGAAGGGAGGTTCCCTTTTTGTAGGAGACTTCAAACTCTTAGCGTTGGAGTCTAAGGAGCATTCGTTGTAGCCTTGTGGGTGCGTTCAGGAGGCTTTTCTTGAAGATTGTCTCCAAGGGCTTGTGATCAGATTCGACCAGCACTTTCCCTCCAACAGGTAGGTTTCAAACTTCTCCATTCCGAATACTATGGCCAGTAACCCTTTTTCGATTTGCGTATGCTGGACCTCTGTGGGGGTCAGGGACCTGGATCCATATGCGACTGGATGTCCGTCGTGCATTAGACACGCTCCCAGGCCATGCATGGAGGCATCACATTGTAGTGTGGGTGTGGCACTTGGGTCAAAGTATTTTAGGACTGGAGTCGTAGATAGGATTTTCTTTGTCTCAACTAGGGCTGCACCATGAACCTGCGCATCCCATTGGAACTCGTNTCAAGAGGTGATTGTTTAGGGAGTTCGGCTGTGAGACGCAGGTGTCGGCGGTTCCTACGATACACCCGTCCGTCGTCAGTGGTAACTTGGTATGAGCGTACACCAACTTGTTTGTCAACCGTTGCTTGGGTCCATTGTTGTTTATATTTGGATGGATTGATACGTACGGTGCTCCCTGGCTCAAGTGGCTGGAGTTCTTTGGTGCCATTGTTGTAATAGAAGGCTTGTTTGTTCTTCTGGGCCTGAAGAAGCTGGGAAGTGGTGTCAAATTCAGATTGTGTTAGTAGTCGCCAAGAGGTAGGTAGGAGGGTTTTGGTAAGGCGGCCAAAGAGGCGCTGAGCTGGAGACTTTCCCAGCCCTTCTGTAGGGGTGTTGCGAAAGTCAAGGAATCCCAAGTAGGGATCACTGCCAGCCTCTGAGGCTTTGAACATGATTCGCTGCACAGTCTTTACCGCGTTTTCCGCCTTGCCATTTGACTGCGGGTAGGTGGGGGAGCTTGTTACATGATCAAACTCGTATAAATCTTTGATTGTATGAAATTCCTGTGAGCTGAATTGGGGGCTGTTGTCGCTTACTATCTTGTCCGGGATTCCATGTCTTGCCATATGAGGCTTGAGCTTTTCAATTTCTTCTTCTGTCTTACTAGCAGGTTTATCCACTTCAAAGAGATTTGAGTAATAATCAGTGGTGACAAGGTAATCCTGGCCCTGGAGCTCAAAGAGATCAACGGCAAGGACCTGCCACGGTCTTGATGGTACTGGGTGTGAGATCATGGGCTCCCTCTGCTGCCCTTGGTGGTATGAATTGCAGACTTGACAGTTGGAGACATGTTCTTCAATCTCTTTGTTCATACAAGGCCAGTAGAAAGCTTCCCGCGCCCGTCTCAAGCATGCTTGTATTCCTAGATGACTGGAGTGTAGCTTTCTTTTGAGTTCAGCTCTCATTTGAAACGGTATGACAACACGGTCTCCTTTGAAAATAACTCCATTTTGGAGAGCAAGTTCTTCTTTGAATCGAAAGTAGTCTTGAACTTCCAGTGGGAGATAGAACTTACTTTCTGGCCAGCCTTGACGCGAGCGAGGGTCTTGAGGATGGCGTCTTCTTGAGTAAGTTTTCGGATTTGGCGAAGAGTTTCGTTTTTGACTGGAAGATACTGTAGCATGTTCATTTGCTCTGCTTCTATCTCTGCAGGAGACCTAGTATCTGAGACTGTCATGACATCTTCCTGATCCTCAGTAGCTTCCTTAGGTGTCAGATACGCGCGACTCAGGGGATCAGCCATAGGAAGGGAGGTTCCCTTTTTGTAGGATACTTCAAACTCGTAGCGTTGGAGTCTAAGGAACATTCGTTGTGGCCTTTTGGGTGCGTTCAGGAGGCTTTTCTTGAAGATCGTCTCCAAGGGCTTTTGATCAGATTCGACCAGCACGTTCCTTCCATACAGGTAGGTTTCAAACTTCTCCATTCCGAATACTATGGCCAGTAACTCTTTTTCGATTTGCGCATACTGGACCTCAAGGGGGGTCAGGGACCTGGATGCATATGCGACTGGATGTCCGTCTTGCATTAGACATGCTCCCAGGCCATGCATGGAGGCATCACATGGTAGTGTGGGAGTGGCACTTGGGTCAAAGTATTTTAGGACTGGAGTCGTAGAAAGGATCTTCTTTGTCTCATCCAGGGCTGCACCATGAACTTGCTCATCCCATTGGAACTCGTTGTCATTTTTGGTCAGCTCGCGTAGAGGAGTCGTGACCTCTGAAAGTCTCGGAGCAAACTTTTGCAGGTAGTTAGTCATCCCTAAGAGACGTTGGATGCTCTGTTTGTCAGTCGGTTCTGGCATCTCTTTGATTGCCTTGACTTTTTCAGGGTCAGGTTGCAGCCCATCGTCAGAGAGCATGTGACCCATGTAGGCCACTTCCTTAAGCCTAAGCTGCAGTTTTCCCTTGTTTAGCTTCACACCTTTTTCTCGGCATCGTTGGAGGAGAGCAATAAGTTTCTCGTCGTGGTTTTTTACTGCTTCATCGTCGTTAGCTCCACATTCAAATACGAGGATGTCATCAGCGATCGCCTTGCATCCATTTAGCCCTTCTAATGCCTGATCCAGTCTTCGCTGGAATTCTTCAGGGGCCGGGGAGATCCCAAATGGCATTCGAAGCCATCTGTATCTTCCCCACGGAGTGCTAAATGTGGTTGCGTAACTACTTTCCTCGTCTAAGGACACATGCATAAACCCATTTTTGGCGTCTAACACAGTAAAGCATCTTGCGTTTGAGAGCTCAGGAAGGACATCCTCGATTGTCGGCGGAGGGTAGTGATTCCATTTGAGGGCTCGGTTAAGTGGTTTGGGATCCACACACAGTCGAACATTGCCTTTATTCTTCAGGGTGACGACAGTTGCTGATATCCAAGAGGTAGGGACATTTACTGGCGTGATAATATTAAGGCCTTCCAAGCGATTCATTTCCTCTTTTAGCTTTTCTTTAATGGCGATCGGCACCTTTCTTGTTGGGAGTTGGACTGGTGGTACGTTCGGGTCAACTTCCAGGTGGAGGTCACCTTCTAACTTTCCTTCTCCTCTGAATACATCGGCGTATTCTCCGAGAATAGATTCTGTCGTAAGTGGTGTTTTGCTCTGCGATGGTTCTTCCGCTTGAAGAGCCATGATGTTTTGTCGGACCACAGATATGAGTTGCATTTGCTCACTGGCTCGTAAACCAAGCAGCGGCTTCCCTTTCCCCTTTACAACTACGAATTCCACGCTGTATTATTTTCCATTTCTGGGGTTCAGAACTTGAACACGTTTCTTGCCAATTGGCTTTTCCTCCGTTTTGTTGTACATAACAAGAGTTACTTCTGTATTGTCCAGCAGGGGTAGGCTGTCTTCACCATATACTTCTTTGAAGGATTCTTCGGGTAAGATGTTCACTGTGGCACCAGTGTCCAGTTGGAATGGGACTTGGTGACCATTTAACAGCATTACCGCAAGCAGTTTGTCTTTATGATAAGGCTTTTCCACAGCACAGACTTGTTTCTTGACGTCGACACAAGTAACATATTCATCTAAGTCAGAATCTTCCACTGCCTGCACTGGCCTGCGGACATGTGTCGGTGTGGGGCGTTCAGAGGACGTGGCCAAAGCGGGTGGAGACAGTTTGGTTTTGCAGGCCACCGAAAAGTGGTTTTGAATTCCACATTTAGAGCAAGTCTTACCCCATGCAGGACATTTAAGCTTGTTCCAAACATGTGTTTTGGCGCAGAACTTGCAGAGGATTTCTCTCTCTCCTATAGGGGGCGGAGGTGTCTTCTCGTTGGCCTGACTAATGTACACAGGTGT